TAAGCGGGGAACTGCTAGTGTCCTCCATAAATCACTTTATCACAATGCTATAGAATCCTTAAAAGAAAAACTCCTGTATCTGGAATATGATCTGGATCATCAGAAAAATCTAAAGGATTGTTCCTTGGCATGAGGTGCACCTCTGGTAAAAAATGTCAATTAAATCCATTCAGAACTTTTCAAAGATTAAAATGAAGTTAGGGTAAAGATTTGCCTCTGCTTTAGACACTAAAAACGAACGAAAAATGAACAAGATTCAACGCAGTGTCATTGAGAATTAAACACCTATGTGTTTGTGTGTGTGTGTGTGTGAACTTGTACTTAGTGCAAAGGTTTGATTTAGGTTAACGTTAGGGTGAAGAATGTACCAGTAATGGTTAGGTTTGGGGCAAGTGTCATGGTTAGGCTGTATGGCAGGTAGTAAATGGGAAGTTTTGCTTAAATGAAGGTCATTAGGTGTGCATGCAAGGTCCTCACTTTGTATTTAAAACAAGGAAGTGTGGAAGTCTGTAGCTAAACTGAGGACAAATACATATTACCCCCTTCATTACATACTATCCATATCAAACCGCTCTCTCTCTGTCAGTCTCTACCAGATTGTCTCATTCCCAGGCAGGTTTTTTGCAGTGATTGTTTGCACCACCTGCCACCCTGTGTTCCTGTGTTGACCTGCTCTCATTGGATTCTACTTGGCTTCAAGCTATGGTCATTATCTGCACTGCCATTTCCTGTCACCAGTCTGTTCGACCTATTCAGCCATTATCCGACTACTCAAAGCGTGCCACCAGCCTATCACTCACTGTTTAAGCCATCATTTGCTTTCTCAAGCCTTCTACCAGCCCATTCGCCTACAGCCCCGGTCTCTCACTCTAACAAGCTCTTAATAATCCTTTAAATAAAACACCCTGTCTGGCTGAATATCAGCTTATCTGAAGCCTTTTATAACAATTAAATTCATGCATAGATTTTAATTAGATAAAAAATAATGTTCAATTCAAAATTATGGTATTTAACTTTCATTAACTGAAAATAAAGCAAGTGTGTTATCATTCTGTTTCAACAACTAATTACCTAAATGCCCAACTCCAGCACTTTTTGAACAGGATTTGGCTGAAGTTCAGGAAGCAGTGGAGTTGGGCAATTAGCCCGTTGTGCTCCTTATTGGCACTGCAGGCTGACTGGTAGAAGAATAGGTCCTGTTTTTGTCCCGATGATCAGCAGCTCGAAAAGGTCGGTCTGAAGGGGTTTCTATATATATTCCTAAAGAAGTCATAACCTTGACTCTTATTCATAAATCATTACACAGGTTAATAATGTACTTATGCCAAAGGCACTAAAACGGTGCTCACAAAAAAAGCAGTTTTTCTTAATAAATCACAGCTGTACTTCAAAGTTTGTCTGCAGGGCTCCACCTGACATTTGACTCTCTACACCCCCACATTCAACCATAAATAGTTCATGCAAAGCACCACATGAAGCTCATTGTGTATTTAAAACGAGCCAGCTGATCATTGTTATTTAATGGTTACCCATGGCAACCACAGGGAAGAAAGCTAAAAAAGGGTAGTTTAATTGAGGCAGAGGTTGGTCTGCTTGTGGTAGAGAGTCAGAAAAATAAGTTTGAAAGCCAAAATTGAGGAGTGATGAATAAAAGAAAGTGTTATGTAAGACAACACAAGTCTGATGTATGGACTGGTCATATTAACAATAGCATTCAAACAGTAGGCAGTAATGTGAATTACATTAAATTATGTTTTTCCTATGAGTGGCTTCAGGAGTTAATTATTTGCCAATTATGTAAAACACCTGTGGGGGAATCTGCACTGATAAGAGCTGTTTCTCCGAAACTGCAGAGTAATTATCAGCTGTAATTAATAAAATAAAAAACAAAAGAAACAAACAAAAAGTGTCTTTGTGTGTTTCTGTGTTGCCCTGCGACAGACTGGTCACCTGTCCAGGGTGTAAACCGCCTCTTGCCCATAGACTGCCTGAGACAGAAAGCGACCCAACGCCCTGACAAGACTAAGTGGGAAAAAATAGATGGATGGATGGATGTTATTTACAGCTTAGGGGAGAGTGGAAATGGTTGCAACAACTTTTACTTTTCCCTCAATTGAATTGTATTAGAATGACAATATTTTCACATTGTAAACTAAAAACTGTCCCCCACACATAATTCAGAAGTCTATTAAGCTAGTAACGTTTTTGGCCAGATTTTTAAGATGTTAGAGTCATTTATTAACAAATCACACATTTTTATATCTGTGTATTTTTTTTTTTTTTACAATTGTTTTACTTTACTATTGTCCTTTTTCTGTCTAATAGCTTACATGCAAAAAAAAAAAAAAAGAGAAGAGAAGATGTAGGATTTATCCTATAATTAGTGGAATTTGATATTGGAGGAATGAAGCCGATCCAGTATTCCGATCCAATGCAACCTCTTTCATTTAGATCGTGCAGAAACACTGTTAGAGCCATCTAGTGATTCTATATCTCAGATTGAACTACCGGTTAATTAAAACGACTATTAGGTTCAGTCATTCAAAAGTGATACCGGCCCACATACTGTCCATCGATATCGGATGGGAAAAATGGATCATAGCATTTCAACCTATTTTTCACATCTTCGTTATTGAGGTCATGAGGGACTGTTGCACCTGTTCATTTACCATCTTTAAAAAAACGTTATGCTTCCTCAAAGCACTAGTTTTGCCCCATGGAGTTTATGCCTAACTATATACAATAATGGTTAAGTTGTATATACAGACAGTGAATACAATCACACACACACACACATAATCATTAAAAATACTCCTCTATTACGGTACCTATATTATCAATTCTTCCCTGAAGGGATTATGGGATGTGTCTGACATCTTGATGGAACAAAGAGGGGGTAATGTAGATTATGCTGTAGGATTCTCACCAGGATAGTTAAATGTATACTGGTCGAATTAACAATGTTGTGACTACCACACGATGCAACAATCCCCCTCAAATGCTCTGTTTCTTTAGAACCGTGAACCAAGCCACCTTTCAGTTTTTTCTATAGTGGATCTATGCTCACTGATGTCCTGTCCACCACCCATGATGAATACGGATGGTCTTTTCAATACTGGACCCAGCTTAGCAGTTCTAGGAACTGCTCATTATGAAGGGGCTAGGTAACCTTGGTGATCTCTAAAAACAAGCTTCCTCTTTATTCTTCCATTTACAAAGTGTCCAGCATTGTCAAAGCATCCGAGTGTCATTATGCACTGGTGTTTTAATGGTCTTTAAATGTTCACAGCATATACTAGATGAATTCCTCACACCTTGTTTACATGTATATATACTAACTTGAAATTTTTAGCTTTTTTTCCACCTTTTTTTATTCATGTGACAGGCTGGCTTGGCAGCGACCCCCACCTGGCCATCTGTGTCACCATGTTCCCCTGTATCCAACATCTAACCAAACAAATGGGTCAGAGTTGGCGTGAGAGGCAGCACAGCTCACAACATCTGAGTTAAAGTTGGCATGGTCAAGTTTTAGTGTCTGTTTGGTGCTTATATAAGCTTTATAAATGAAACCCCATGGTATTTTACTGTATGTATAGAGTCCTTTTGAAATTGTCTTAGAATAGATGCATACATGTTTTTATAAGAAGCACAATTAAATATAGCTAATTTAGAACAATTTTCTCCCTTTAAAAAAAAACATTTTTATACAACTTATTCAACTGCATCTTTTTTCATACTTTTTTATAATTAAATTATAATGGCTGTATAACATAATTACAAAATAAACCATGCCCGTCATTTCACATTTTTTCTTTCCTTGTTTTAGCTGTTTATTTCCTGGTGTTAAACTTTCATGCTTTGGTTTAGTTTCACAGGCTTGCTCTTATGATCTAAACTGCCATTTCAGATATTTTATAAATGCAAACTTTGCTGGAATAAAACTGTTGAAACCCTGTCATCAGATTAATAAAGATAAGGTTTGCTTATTAAACTAAAATGAAACTGACAGAAGTGGCATGAAATAATAACACTGAAGACTTGAAATAATAATATTTAAACAAATATTGGGAAATAAGATAGCTTGGAGACAAAGGATAAAACACGTAACTTCATATTTTGTTGATCATCCTTGGACAGCATTCAACATAGATGATTTCATAGATCACATCTCACTAAAGACGACCCCTAAAGAGTAAATGTGTTTCTAGCTTTAGCTAGCTCTAGCCTTGAGTACTCTGAACATGCAGTAAGATCACAGCAGGTTTTGTGATTTATTCTGCCATCCATTTGTTGTTGTAAAAACAGGAAAACCTGCAAAATTGCCAAAATACTTTGAGAAATGTATATGGTAATACATATGGTAGTATATCAGTTCATACAAATTGTATTTTATTCAAACAAGCAACTAAATGAAAACAACCTTACTCTGTTGTCTCCCAGTCCCCCCCCCCCCCCCCCCCCCCCCCCCCCCAAAGAAAATATATATTTTTGCCAAATAAAAAATCTAAAGAAAATCTCACATCTGAGATGTCAAAAAGGCTAAAAACCACACAAATCTGAGGCAACTGGGGGCATAAAACCTGAAATGACCGACTATGTAGAAATATTAAATGAAACAAAGGAAGGGTTAGTAAAAGCCATGTAATCTGGGGTTAGAATGGATTCAGGCATTTGTGTAATTCAATAGTTAAACTTGGTGAAAAAGCTGTTTAAAATATCAGATAATGCATACAATAACCAAAGAAAGCATAGTATAGTTGTATATGCTTTGATTACTTTATAATACCATTTTGTTGTTATTGTAAAGTAAGTCTTAGAAACAACCACAGATACGAAGAGTTCTGCAAGCGAGCAGTATGATTCTGTCTCCCCCTGGCTGTCAAATATGGCCGCCTCGCATTGAAAAATAATATTGAGAAAAAAAAAAAAAAACTATGATGAGAAAGTATCTTTTGAAAAAAAAAAAAGGAAATCTCACAACTCAGATAAATTGCAAAATATCAAAGGTATTTAAACTTTAATAAATATTTTACATTAACTTCTTTTCTTATGTACATATATAGTACAGAAAGATAGGTGATTTTTCTGATGCATTAAATTAAACATGTACAAATAATACAACTTTTAAGAGCGAAAGAAACAGACTGGCCTTCAGAGGTTTGGCGAAGATATGATGAATTTTTTTTTCTTTCTTTTCTTTTCTTGAATGAATAAATGCATGAGAAATGTTTTAACTTTTAGCAACATTGATGAACAAAGCACCATTACTGACTTAAGGAAGAAAAAAAGAGTCATTAAATGATTATTTCCCTCATGACTGTGAATTCCACTTTGCTCGGTGGGAAGTTTAAGCACCAAACATTTGCAACTACCTTTAATTAATCTTTCACACTTTAGATTCCTGAGAGTTTAGAATCCTTACAGAAAACATCTGCTTTGGAAATGGCACCATTCTAACAAGCGTGAAAATTAAAATTGCATTTATTACTCTAGGAACTTTGAAAATATCTAATATTTCCAGGGCAACAAATATTTAATCTCACAAGAAGACACTTAAATCTAAAGGGCTGGTTGAATCATTAGCAGTAACATTAAATATAATCTCGAAAATAAAGGTGCTAAACTCTGTTTTATGGGTACTTATAAAACAATATTTACATCATATCTACAGGGAGACTGAATTCTTAGATAACATATTTTGATGTGAAGAGAATAAAAAGTAACTTGGCTTTTCAAAGGCCCTGTGCAACTTTAACCCTGTTTAAAGGCATGCTAAAATGCACCAAATCGGCAATATTTAGCATGATATTCAATGAGAAAAAAGTAAAGGTATAACGTAGGATGGAGGTTCCATTTGGATCATCAAAATAAGTGGTCCTCCTAATTGTCAATCATTCTGGTGATATGTTTACATAAGGCCCTCCCATGTGCTCGTCCCCAGGTAGCTATCTTTCCGGTGGTGAGTCTCACATAGTGGAAAAATTGCAAATCTTGTTTTCGAAAGTAAGCCTGTATAAGGGATGCAAACAGCAACTTTTAGCATGCACGAGTAAAAATGGGCACGCGTTTAATAGACATTCCCAAACGGGAGAGGGTACAGGGTTGTGCATGTCCCTTTTTTTTTAAAGGGGAGAGTGGTCTTTTCAAATATTCTCGAAAATCCTCCACTATACCTTTAAATAAAGATGCATTTTGCTTGACTCTAGGAGATATTTTCTTTAGCTGGCCTGATATAAAACATTGTTGCAGTCAAGAAGAGTTTATCTCTATAAGAGATTTGGGAATGGCTGTTCAGTTATTAGGCAGGACCCCTTTTCATCCTGAGGAGAAAATTTCGCTTCTCCTCCAGAAGTTCTTGTATCCGTTTGTTCCTGGTTCTTTCTCTGAGACTGACCCGGTGCTTTGGGATCAGATTGTTTTGAGAGATGTCACCGGTCACACTAACAACACTGTTATCAAACACATCGATTGAGTTTCTCTCATTGTTCTCCTCAGCTATTTGCTGATGCTTCGAAGTGGGGATCATTTCATAGGTTACTGTTGTTTGTTCTTCATTTGTGTGAAGGACCAAGGTGGGAACAGGGGTACCAGGAAGGTCTGAAGTTGTCGCTGGAATGGATTCAACTACAGGAATGAGTTCAGACAGGTCCATCCCAGGGGATGGGGCTAGCTCTGTTGTGTCCTCTCCGTTTATAGTTGCGATATCCATGGAGTCACCGTCTTCCTGCACTCCCAAATTGCTGTAGGACTCTTTAATGGTATTGCCACTTGGAAATGTCACTGTGATCTCGCTATATGGCATAGTCGCTGTGACAGCCTCAGGGCTAACGTCATAAGAGGATTTTAGGAAATCATCAAAAGGGCCAGGTGTCGTTGCGTCTGTGCTAACGAGGTGAATGGATGGGGCATCGTCCGTGAACAAAATGTCCCTATTAATGTCCGTTGGGCTAATCTTTGACTTAGAGGAAGGAAAGTTCAACACTGTCCCTTCTACTATGCGGTTGTGAGAAATAGCGGAGGTAAAAACCTCATCTGGGGTGGGCGGTGTGCCCGGTGAGGTTTTGTGTTTTGGATTGATCTTTATCTCCTTAACTTTACTCTGTTTGACATTTATGTTTGACTTTATGGCATCTTTTGATACTTGTTTTTGGCTGTTTTTAATGTTCGTCTTTGTTTGAGATTGCTTTGTGACAATTTTCTTTGACTCTGGAGTTTTTTTAGGATTGGTCTTTAAATCAACCTGCTTTTTAGGTAACGGTTTAGTTTTCTTTTCTGGCATGGTTTTTAATGGAGGCTTTTTTATAGAAGAGATGTTTGGAGTTTTCTTGTGGGGAGGGTTAATGCCTGGAATGTTCTTTATTGGAGAATTATTCAGTGTAGATTCATTTTTGGGACTAATGTTTGGTGGATTTGTTTTTTTTACTTTATACTTTGATGAAGTATTTGTTCTTAGCACAGTTTTCGCTAAAGTTGTCTTTTTGACTGTAGGGTTTGTGTTCGGTGGACTAATTTTTTCCCCATTAGTTTTCTTGTGGGGAGGGTTAATGCCTGGAACGTTCTTTATTGGAGAATTATTCAGTGTAGATTCATTTTTGGGACTAATGTTTGGTGGATTTGTTTTTTTTACTTTATACTTTGATGAAGTATTTGTTCTTAGCACAGTTTTCGCTAAAGTTGTCTTTTTGACTGTAGGGTTTGTGATTGGTGGACAAATTTTTTCCCCATTAGTCTTTGATTGAATAGTTTTCTTTGGAGTATTATTTAGGGGAGTTTTCTTCTTTGCATGAGGGTTTGGTGGTCTGGTGTTATTTGCTAGAGTGGTCTTTTTCATAGGTGGGTTTGGCAGAATTGTTTTTTTGGGATCACTGCTTGGTGGTTTGGTGTTTTTTGCCGTTTTCTTCACTGGAATTGTCTTTTTTTGAGATATATCCTTTGGAGGGGTCTTCTTTTGAAGATTTTTCTTTGGTGAAACATATTTTTCTGTAGTATTTCTTTGTGTTATTTCCTTTTTTACACTTTCCTTTGAAGGAACCAGAGTTTTTTTGTTTTGTGGCTGAATGTTCTTTTTAGGATTGCTTTTAAGTGTGTTTACTATAACGGTACTACTCTCCTTGAGACTTGTTACGGGAGTGGGCTTTGGTGTAAGGAATTCGGCACTTGTTCCAGCTGCTGACGTAGCTGAGGAACTCTGTAGCATCAGATCTGTGATGTCAGCATTGGGATGATTTGTATAAAACACAGTGTTGATAGTAGGCACAGTGGTGGGGAGGAGAAAAACGCCTGTTTCAGCTGGTGGAGGAGTTGGAATTACTTTTGTTGCAGTTGGTGTAGAGGAATGGATGGTTTCAGATGTAGAAGCTGGAAAATTTGGGGTTGCAGAAGTTGAAAAAGTGCTAGAAGAGGTGGAGATGAAAGGCAAACTGGTTGTAGCTGGAAGATGAGAAGGAATTATTTTTGTGGCTCTCAGAGAAGATGTGGGATGAAAGGTTTGGGTTGTGGTGTCCTGGAGGGGTGGGGTAGCAGCAGAAGCAGATTTGGTCTGGAGGAAAGGAGAGCTAGTTGTAGCCAATTGAGTGGTAAGTATTCCTTTAGTGAGTTGAGAGGTGGTTAGGATTAAGCTCAGGAGATTTATAGATGGAGTAGGGGTGACAGTATTACTGGGGGCAGTGCTACTAAGGGTAGATGTAGCAGCGGGGTTAGGTCCAGGTTTGGTGATGTTGATGCTGCTGCACGTCTTGCAGCATAAGCGCCAGTAATCCGGTAGGAAACAGCGGCGCTGAAGAGCCTCCATAAGACAGAACAGCGAGCGGTCTCCCTTACATGGCAGGCCTGTGAAGGAGAGACAATGACCTCAAAATAGGAACAAAAAATAGCAATGTGTAATTTGCAATATAGACATATAGAATGTTAAAGGTTGTACTTAATAAAATACAATTTTTGTGTAACTAGCAAAATCAAGAAGTAAAGCCAGACCATCAACAAAGAATGCATGAAGGTAAAGGAGGAAAATCTTAAGAACAGTCATCATATTAGTGCAGAGCAGCTGAAATAGAAGAAAATAAAAGCCAGTCTTCAGTTGAAAATAATGCATTTCTCCTGTCTAAGAATAAGACCTTAATCTTGATCAGCAGTTTAATGTAAAAACTTCACCACACACTACAAAGAAACTAGGGAAGTCCAAATTAACCTCCAAGTAGGGTGACCAGATGTGCCTAAATAACTTGTGTGAGAAAATCACACATTTTCCCCTTCTGTCCCACCATCCCACAAATCAAAGCAATGGTTAATTGCATGAAATTACAAAAAAATTGGATAGCAAAAATTCAAAGGAGCTTTTCCTAAATGCAAAGAAAGTAGAGCTGCAGCTATTGTCACACAGTTCCCACGTCATGACCAAGCTGCACACAGTTCTGTTAAATGGGGAACAGGTAAAAGATTTTAACATACAATAGGATGGGAATTAAGTTTAAAGAATGATAAAACCAGCCACAACAAGGACTGTGGAACAGTTCATAACTGGGTGAGGTTAGTCAAAGAAGATTCTCACGGATTTTTCCAAAATAATTTTTAGATTTGAGCACAGTGTAAAGCAACAATGTAAAAATGGGTCACAAAAGAAACGCAGAGCATTCATAAGCATTCTAGTTGTCCAACATTTGATTTTTCTAGATCTGGTCACCCTACCTCCAAGTAGTGGTTTCAGATCTGGGCATGTCTTTGTCTTCCATGCCAACAGCAAGATGCATAGACAACTTTTATATGGTCTGTTCTTTTTTCTTAATCACACTAATTTAATGCATACAACTTGCAAAGAAGTGTTATAGTTCCTTGACATTATTTTGTTGATTTTTGTCAACCTTGTTGACTCTTCTATATGGGAGCTATTAAGCTGTGGCTTCGGCTTCTAGAGAAATGCACACAAAAACTCTGAAATTCTGTGGCTATTTGAGATAAACTGGAATATATCAAATTGTCAATTATCAATATTAAAACAGATCGAAAAAGGCCAGCATTAGGTTTGCAAAAACCAAGTTATGAGATTGAGGACTGTATCTATAAGTCTCAATTCATACAGTGGATGTTTATGAAATCTTATCACCAAGTGTGTGTCATGTGAAGATTTATCAACACATTATTGGGATTTTCTTAGTCAAGTTAACCACGATGTCTGCTTACTATAAAAACAAAAGTAGTTGATAAGGAGATCCTGAAGCGTCCAGACTTTCACAAGTTAATTGGAATCCTGATCAAACCATGTTATGCTGTGCTTCATTTACACACATTACATATTTAATTGGTCTAACTACATTGTTTAAAAATTCCTACAGAGTGAAAAGTCACACTTTTTAAAACATTTTTATTGATACAACTTTGCTGTTGATAATGACAGGAACTGAAACAATGAGATGTATGTCTCCACCTCCAGCTCATTATATAGATATATAGTTTTTTTTTTTTTTTTTTTACTTAAGAAAAATAATTCAACTGTATCGAAAGTTACAAGTTCACAGTCACTGTGGTAAAACACTTGATTACTTGAAAATCAACAAGTCAATCTGTTAATTGACTGAGAAAGAAAACATGAAGTACATAAATTATATTTGCTTTTTAAAGAAAATACATAATTTTCATGATGATGTAAAAACTGGAATGGCACATTAAGTGTCATATGAAACATTTACAAAACATTAATAAAATTTCCCTGATAAATCAAAGTGCATATAGACGCAGTGCACGTAGTCCATCTGAATGTTTCTTCGAACATTAGCCAGCCCAACGCAGCAGGCCAGTGAAGCCACAAAACAGTTACCCATAGTATAGAATATTATAGAAGAAGATAACAGTCATGAACATTATTAAATACAGTCAACACCAATTTTATATACAGTATCGCACTGCTAGGTCTGGCTTGGTCTCTTACAGTCCAACTCCAGCAGAAGGAAACCTTGGATAGCTCGCTACATAGTCACAACAGAAATATGTGATCACAATACAATGACAAGTCTGAAGTGTTCTTTTCTTTTTTTTTGTTTTCCAAGATGCCATATGTGTCAGTACCCTAGGCCCTTTGAAAATCCTTTCCGGTAGTCGGACACTGGTCCGACATCAGCCTCGTAGGTTATGATGGTTGGCGGTTGTGAGTTTTTTTTTAAGTTGGTTTGAAGCTGCCTCTATTCCGAGTGAAACTTTGAATGAGTAAAGCCATCTCTTTCACAGATAAATGCCATTACATTCAATCCAAGATAAGGCATTGTTCATGTGGTTAATGTTCGTCAAAAAAAAAAAAAAAAAAAAAAAGTGAGACCACCCGACTCAAAATCAAAGTTTATGAGGTATTTCTGTATCTGATCGCAGTGTGTTAAAAGCCCAGATGATTTAGCACCCACGCGCACACACTCACACATGACGGGATGCACATCCACCCTATGCACATGCACTCGTGGATGCGCACAGTGACAGATGCACGCTTGCACAAGCACGTGTCCAAACATCCAGGTGATAGATGCAAATGTGCATGACAAAAGGTGATCCTATCCTGAAAGAAAAACAAGAAGCAACAGCAACACCACTGATCCATCTGAGCGAATGGATAGGCAACTAACTGACCAAGTCCTGCATAATATGGGTCGAACCCGTTCTCCCACAAAACACTTTGCCTTTTATTAAATATTTATCTGTATTCATGTAAAATTATTTAAAAAAATACACATAACAGTCAAGGATCTAAGCGATCAATAGCAGTCCAAAGGTTTTAGGCAAATAAGCTACAGCTTATTCATGGTAAAATGTTATTAATATTATTGGTACTTATATAGATTTAGATTTATAGATATATATAAATACAAATATATTTATAGATGTATTTGTTTAAAGTCTGCAAGCACAAATAAGCTGCATTTATTGAACTTTTGTATAACAGTCAAAGAGAGGATGGCTGATGATGAGGTGGAATGGGAAGCAACCTCAAGTGGTCAAACTAACCTGTTTTTTTTTTTTATTATTCTTTTTTTTCTTATCATCCTTCACAGTTTTTCACCACCCAGTTCAACTTTGCAAAAATAAAATCACTCCCAAAAAGAGGATCCCATTACTTCATGTCCCTGTGCTGAGTTCCTGTTAATCTGAAATGGGAGCTCCATTTTCATCCCCACCTGGAACTGAGATGTCAAGATGAGCACTTAAGCAAATATGTCCTCAGATCACATTCACAATAAAGCTTTCATTTTTTTAAGATATAAATATTTTTTATATAGATATATTTATATACCATTTCTGAATATTTTCACATCTCTTTTCTCCCACACGAACTGTGCGCTACAAAAAAATAAAAAAAATAATAAATCAAGAACAGAAAAGCCCTGCTGCGTCACAGGTGTGGTAACCCATAACGACACGCAGCGAGCTCGCGCAAATCACGGCCACCGAATGCAGAGAAGGGGTTCCCTTACACATGAACGGCCCTTTGTCACATCAGAGGAGGTGTCAGTGAAAACCCGTTTGCCACTTCGAATCCTTTTCACACCAAAATTTTTTTGTTGATCTTTTAAGTTTTCGACTGGCCAGGGGTTACAACACAATGCTCCACAGTGGAGAGATAGATAAAGAGAGACAGAGCAAGAGAGAACCAACTAGCACACACAGGAGCCAGAGACCTCCCCCGGTCAGAGCCGCCTCAGACACAGAGAGAGAGAGAGAGACAACATCCCCCCCCAGAAGAGAAGCGAAAGCTTTGCCACTCGCTCACACGGGCGTGGGCACAGGCACAAGGCGCAGCAGGAAGGGCAGGTCAGGGGGCCAGCCGGGGCCGGCCCTGCAAAGACAGGAGGACAGAGATGGGCAGGGCCCAGCAGAGGACAGACATGCTGTCGATGTGAAGGCTGGGCTGGGAGCTATAGAGGGGGGTTTTACGTGATGAGATCCTGGGGTAGTTTGGGTTGGGCCGGGAAAGCCACTGGATCAGAATGTTGCCATTCTTGTTAAGGTCTGATGAGCCCTCTGCAAACAAGACACAGGAATGGTAAGATTATGGTGAGTCAAATACAGGTCAGGTTTTTTGTTTTTACACAGCTGTTACAACTTTTACTAAATATGTCCACACTGGTTATTTATGCTTACAGAAATAAAATATATATTTTAGTAAACTGTCATTTTCTAAATTTGCCTGCGCCCTTTCATGTAAATGTATATATCCACCTTAGTCCTGGCAGTAACTGCTGGAAGTTTGGTTACTGTAGGTTAGCAACCTCCAGTATAACAAAAACTGCATCAAAGCGGGTTGTTTTGTTTATTCTCCATATTTAAATTTGCTCATCTATGTATTTAAATAGCAGAGATGTAGGCATTGCTCCTTTTAGGAGTTATACAGATCATTTCAAGCAGAACGTCTGGAGAAACCTAACAATATTTATCAAAAAAGTCACAAAGACCCTTTATGTACTCAGCTGATACTGATTGTAACTGATGCATTAATCTAAATCTAGTCAAAGCCGAAGCAACCAGATTATGTGAAGAAATAAAATAGGTTATTATTTTCTTCAGCACTGATCGGCCTTTATAATGATGTTCATTCAATTTCTGTCATGGTGATGTGCATTAGGTTGGTAAATTGTTTAAAAGTAACCCTTTTTAGTTAGATGTTATAAATACCAACCTGTCTGGGATTCGACTAAAATTTTGTCAATATTCTACAGAGAGTTTCCACTTAAATAGTATCTAATTGTTATTTTGTAAACTCCAACTGGAAGATTCTTCATGCAGGGGAGTTTATTTAACACCTACTGCGACATGGTTCCAGGCGACAAACTCTTATGGTATCAGGTTTGCTGTCTAGACAGAGTCCAATGGTGTTGTCTCTGGTGTGGCACAGTGCCTGCCTCTGCTGCGTCCCATTTCCACATGTCACTGAACACTGGAAGTGCATAATAACATGTGAAATTCAGTTGCCATAACAATGTATTACAGATAAATCAAATTAGGGGAAAACATTAAATATCTTATAATGATCCATGTCTTAGTTGCGTACTTGTGACCAGGGGCCAACTCTCCACTGCGTAGGGCAGGGATGTCTGTTGCAGGACCTGCGGGACTCTGGACGGTCATCGCTGCAGTGCTTATTGTGAATGAGGCGTGTTGTGTTGTCCTCCGAAGGCTGAACACAGGTGACGGAGCGTACTTGCATCCCAGTCTTACCACAGGATTTGCTGCAGTTCTGCCACTCTCCTGTCACCCAGCTGCAAGTAAGGAACACAATCAGGAGAGACAAAGAAGGCAAAACTAAGAAAATGCAAAATAATTTCATTTGAAAGAGATAGTAGTCTAAAACCGATCCGATCTAGTATAATATTGGGACCAGCTGCATTATACTCTGCTGTCTGTCCCATACTCAATGGCCCTATTAGGTATGTTTGATGAAAGAATGAATGCACACACTCATGCATGGGTTTATGTACATCCAATGTAGGACATTGCTCTTATCAATCATTAAAGTCATCTTACGGTGCTGGCATGCATACATTCCTTTATGCATGCTTGAATGTTACAGCATGTGAGAATCAATAATTGTTCAAAGAACATTTGCTGTTAATGATATAAAGTTTTGCATTTACTGAGGTACACAAATCTCATACCCATATGGTAGAAAGCTGTATTCCTGAGACCTCTGATGGAACATTAGTATTTTGTGTTAAGGAAAGAAGTAGGGTATGAACGTATAAGATTTTAACTTAAATTATTTCAATATAGGCCGTCTATGATTACAGTGTTGTCAATGACTGATATTCTGTTTTTTATGTAGTTTAATGTGTTTCGTTTTTTTTTTTCTTGTTTCAGTTATTTCTAAAATGTTATATTGGAGGAGTTTTATACACAGATGCCTCTACAAACAACTCTACTTGTTTGTAGAGGCCCCTGTTGTGGCCAATCTTGGCTGTTTCTGAGGCTTTTACTTATTTTATATTGGCCATATTAAGAAATGTGCTTGACATAGGCTGGCACTGGTCATAATACTCTGCCTGATTTGACTATATTTACCATCTAGAACAAGATAAAGCTGATGAATACATACATGGGTGGAGGACAGGGCTTTTGGTTGCAGTTCCTAATATCTCCTCTGGGCTTCATGTTGGACTTGTTACAGAAGCTTTTATGAACCATCTTGCTGTCAACTTTTCTTCTGCAGCCATATCGCAAATACTGCTTCCCTAAAGAGAAGTTTATACCAGATAATTTTAGCAATTTATAATGGAGAGGAAAATGTGAATTACATAGTATGTTTTTTTCTCGACTATGTACCATACCTCCACCACAAGCTTTGGAGCAATAGGACCACTTTTTCGGAGCCCATTCGTAGGCACTGTCTTCTACCAGCATGTTGTCGTAAATAGTCGAATCACCATCCATATTCATCGTGTATTTATAGGACAAAATGACATCCTCATCTCCATGCAATTTCATCTAGGAGAGAGATCAAGAAAAACTAGTTTACTTTAGGATTTGCCATCATAAAACCCAACATTTATTTGACTGCTGTTGTTTGTACCATTATTAGAACCCCATGTCTGAGAGGCCCTGTGCTCTGAAGGGTTTCCTTGTCGTTATCAATCCCATACTCCCATTTCACACCCTTCTCTATAACAGAGCGGGACTCTGGGTATTCATTTTCCCCATTTAGGAAAAACAGTCCTGATGCCACATTTTTAACAGCTGTAGAAGAATAAGAAAAAACAGGTATTTATATAAAAAGGGGGGGACAAATACTATTGTTCAAAACATAAAAGTATTGTGCCACATACCAATAGTGTGTGAGGTGGCATTCAGCTCCTGAATCAGTAAATGCCTTGCTCCTCTGGGGATTTCAAGAACTTTAAGGAACCCTGGAAATGACACACTCAAATAGATTTTTTTTGGATCTAAGATCATCAATCAACAAAGAGCTCAGTTAGCAGTTTCCTAACAGAACACCTATGCAGAAAAGAAGTCTCACTGGAAAAGTTTTTAATAGTTTTAGCTTGAAAAAAACAGCTTCTTCCAGGAATTCTGCTCTCATGAGGTAAATCCGCCCCGGCTTCAAGAGTTAGATAATAGACTCAACATTAGCTCATGAACTTTGATGTAAGCTCTTGGCATGGTTCAAATGGAAACATATGGTCACATTTCCCTGAGGTTTAGGGTCATTTTCAGACATTTTCCTCTAGAGGGCGATGTTTATTCAAGCATAGACAGGAGGAAGGCCTACAGCCAGGCTGTTTTTCATTTTACATGTAGCCAACCCAGCTTCGTCTGTTTACCTTGCTTTTTAGCAGTCCGCATGATTATGTCTTTGAAGGTTTCGCAGCTGGAGTTGTCACCTCCACACACTCCACACTTGTCCTCCTGCTTCGAGGAGCCCACCACGCCATCACAGCCCACCTTCTGTTAGTGAAAATCAAGGAAGCTGATCAGAAAAAGTGTAGCAGTTTAAATCTGATGCACACAGAAACACATAAGAAGTAACTAACCTCACACTCTCCACGCACACACACATTGTGAGGGTCTTTGTACGAGCAGCGTGTGCCATCCAGGACCAGTTTCTCCATGAGGACCACATCTCTGGTTTCCTTTGATTGGCAATACAGGTGGCAGCGTTTTTTAGCTAAGAAGCAAGCAAAATTTCACATTAAACAGTACAACCACCATTCTTCTTTTTCTGACAGGAAAGGATGCAGGTACGAAGATATGCTTAAGATCTAAATAAATAAAAAAAAAGATGCTACTATTTGACTTATATTTCATTTTAAAATGAACAAATAAATTGAGAAAATTTAACGTCGTACAGCATTTGAAATTGACTGTGCTGTTCTGAAGCCCCATAACAACTCTTATTAAATGGGAAAAGCAGTTTTTACTACCTTAAGTGAAAAAAGCAACTGTATTTTATTCATGGTAAATGATGGCTGAATAAGAAGGGCTTAGTGAAGACCCATGGCTTGACATTGTCCCTGCTTAAAAGATAAAGAAGGGCAAAGAAAGCTATATTTAAATATTTTTAGTGGCCCCAATAAGAAGTATTGTAAAAAAAAAAAAAAAACATTAATAGAAATCAAACACTGTGGAAAAGCTTGAAGAGTATGGTGGAAGGAAAGAAGAAAGAATGTGTTTGATGCATTTGGAAACATCTAAAGGCATATAGTCTAATGGAACCCCAAACAACATGGATGCAGACCAAGAAGCACAGTGCTTCTCAGACGGAGCGACACAAAAGACTTAGATTAAGACAATTTTAATGTCAATTTGTATACACTGTGTGTACAAGACCAACTTTTGTTTTGTACAGCTTTTCAAACCGTAAATGAACATTTTCATTCCATAAAATGCAGCAGTGATTAAATGTAAACATGGTGCAAAAAAACGCATTGGTATGGAAGTTCAGAGCATTAATATATATGGTGCAGATATGCCGTATTTTTGGTTTGGTGTTCTAAGTGTGATTACAGAGTCTGTGACACGATTTGGAGTTTTTTTTTTCAATAGTTTAGCAGTCTGATGGTGTTGGGGAAGAAGCTGTTTCAGAATCTCCTGGACCTGCATTGAATGCTGCGGAGCCTCTTCCCAGAGGGCAGCAGGGAGAACAGTCCATGGTGGGGGTGTGAGGGGTCTCTGATGATGTTACGAGCTCGGGACACACAGTTGTGGTATGAAATGTCTTTTCATGGAGGGGAAAGGAGCCCGGATGATCCTCTCTGCTGTTCTCACCACTCTTCTTGGTTTCTTCCAGTCTGCAGCACTGCAGCCTCCACACCACACAGTGAGACAGCTGGTCAGAACGCCCTCTATGGTGCTTCTGTAGAAGGTCATGATGAAGGGTGGGGGCAGGTAGGCTCTCCTAATCCACTGCAGGAAGTACATGCGCTTTTGTACCCTTTTGAATAGTGATGTGGTGTTTAAGGTCCAGGTGAGGTTGTCTGTGATGGGCATCCCCAGGAATTTGATGCTGATGACCACCTTTACAGCTGAGCTGTTGATAAGCAGTGGGCGTGGTTAGGATGATTCTCCCTGAAGCCAACAATGATCTCCTTCATCTTCTCCACATTCAGGATCAGGCTGATATCTTTGCACCATTCCACCAGCTGCTCTACCTCCTCTCTGTATTCCAGGTCGTTGTCGTCTCTGATGAGGCCCACCCCCATGGTGTTGTCTGCAAACTTCATGATGTGATTGGTGGTGAACCTGGGGATGCAGTCGTGTGTCATCAGAGTGAACAGCTGGGGCTGAGGACGTAGCACTGAGGGAAGCGTGTGCTTAGGATGATGACATCTGAGGATTTCTGTCCAACCCAGACTGACTGAAGTCCTCTTAGGTCTCATCTTTGCAAAGCAGAATGTCATGGTTTTCTATTTTTTGATGAGATGAAATTAAAATCTGCCAATAAACCTCCCAAAGATACAATTTCCCAAATCAAACACAGTGGTGAGAACTTAATGATTATAGGATTTGATCAGGTAATTGGCGAAAAAACCAGCAAATCAAATTAATGGGATGATAAAGGGAAGATTATCAACAATAAAATCAGGCAGTCTGCAGAGGAATTGGGGAAATTACAAGGCCACAGTACATCATAAGCCAAAACACAAATTTAACGTAGTGAATAAAAGAGAGTGTCGCATCCAGAATCCTGATTTAAATTTCATAAAGAATCTGTAGAGAAAGTTTAAGAGGAATGGCAACGATAATAATGCCTTCCAACCTCAAAACCTGGAGCTCATCACCGTAATGAAAGACACCAGTGAGGACATCTGAGAAGCTTTTTAGTATCAAGGATAACTGTTTGGTACCTGTAACAGCCAATAAATGCTTTCCCACTCATAATTAAGAAGGTAGGAATCATTTGGGCATTTTTATTCAAATATACAATCTGGGCAAATAATTTTCTTTCCTACAATAATACTTGTTCCTCATCTTAGTATCTTCTGGATAATACCTGTGAAATGTCTAGTCAGAAAATGGATAAGCATACCTTTAAATCTAAATATTGAAAGGACATAAATAATTTGGTGCTCATCTGTTTTGAAATAATTGTGAAAATCTGAATGAGATCTTAGTGAGTCATCATTGTAATGATTCTGATTGTGTCTCTGAGTCACACTACAACTACATGATCCCACAGAGACTAAACCTGGCAGACTATACTAGTGCGAATAAACACTTTTACTTGATCACATGCATGGACACCACCCAGAGATCTTGTCAGTCAGAGGTTTGACTCTCATAAACAGATGGTAGACATGCAACTGATCTACTGCAACCTGCAGTACAGGGAAATAATTTCAAATATCTGTTTAAATATACGAATACTTCATTGCAATAGCAATTGGTAACATTACACAGAAAAGATTGCGAGAATTTTCTAGTTCAATTTTGTTCAGAGGTAAAATTATTCCTCGTTAAAAAATGTGTAATTTACAATATACAGGAAGTAAGACACAGAGAGGTAAAACTGATTTTTATTGAGCATTTAGGTCTGTCGCGTACAGTAAACCATTTTTCCGATATTTTGGCAATATCTTTTCTATTGTTATATTGTATCACCACTAGGCGCCGGTTGCTGGGTTTCAAAATTCACAGTTTCAAAAACTGTGAAAGTTTCCTTAAAACCGTTCCTGCGGTTTAAGCGTGCTTTTAAATAAATCGCATCAGGGAAATGCTAAAGTTGTAAGCAGTTGCAACATCACTGGTCGCGACCACTTCCTCCATGCACCACTGTAGCTGCTACTGTAGCTCTACAGGTTCAGGTTGTATGATGGAGGAAGTTAGCCTCGTGAGACCATCCTGATCTCGTGAGCTTTCAAGATTTCACTCGCAGATCAGTCTGGAGACTCTCCTTTAAAGAAAATTTGGAGCCGTTCACCAAACGAACGTCCAATCAGCGTTGGCTTTGAGGCGGGTTGAGGTGTGACGCAACGAGAAGCGCGACAGTTCAGTCTAAAGACCATGGCGGCTTCAGCTGATGAAACTAGCGTTAGCGTGGCTATCGAGCAAGTTTTATCGGAATTACACAGTATTTCTTCACTGAAAGAAGAGCAAAACACTGCTCTGGAGGGTTTTCTCAGAGGAGAAGATGTTTTTGCTCTTCTCCGGACTGGTTTCGGCAAGAGTTTGATCTATCAATTGGCTCATCTTCGTCGTCGCTCTGTTAGTACGTCATATGCTACGTTGATCTGATTGGTTTATTTGGCCCGTCCATCACCAATCAGCTAACCAGTATTTTCGCCCCTTCCCAACATTACTTCAACGGAAGGTTTCCAGAGTCAGGTTAGGAGGAAGTACGGCAGCTCGATAACTCCTCCCCTGTCTGTGTCTCTTCCAGGCGGGGTCTGATATACCGGAATACTTTGGCTGAAAGTTGGCAGAAGAAGAAAAATGGTGACTTGGAGGATAAAGCTTGCCCTACCAGTGTTTGGACAGTGGGAGCAAGAGGAGGCACCAGAGCTAATATGATAGCACAGATAAAGCTTCAACAAGCCCGTCTTTCAAAAGGTAAATCATCTTGAAATGAACAAGCAACCTTTCGCATCAGGCAATAGTGAAACAAATCTCAGTGCTTCATTGAGCAGACAACTTAATGATTTTGCTGATCACAACTTCTCCTTTGGGCTTGTGTATTTGATTCGTTTTAAGAAAAAGGCAAAAAATAAATAAATCTCTCTGTAGCTGTCCTGTAGGTGTGCATTATTTGTACACTTGTTCATCCTTGCATTTTCACAAGATTCTTTGTAGATAGTATGATTTATAACTGCTTGAAATCCCAAATATGACTGCACAGAAATTTTGGCACGTCAGTGATCTATAAACAGCTTCCACCAAAAATAGGTGCTTTACAGAAATTAAACATTAATCCCTCTGTCCTCTTCCTCTTATCTGGGGTCGAGTTGCGGGGGTATCAGCTTCAGTAGTGAGACCCAGAGGTTCCTCTCTTGGACCAGCTCCTCCAGGGGAATCACAAGGCATTCCCAATCCAGCTGAGAAACATAGTCACTCCAGCATGTCCTGGAGCTCGATCTGGATCTCCTTATGGTGGGATGTGCCCTGAACACCTCACTAGGTAGGCGTCCAGGAGGCATCCTAATCAAATGCCTGAGCCACCTCAACATGCTCCTCTCAATGAGGAGGAGCAGCGATTCTACTCTGAGTCCTCCCCGGATGACTGAGCTCCTCCCCCTATGTCTAAGGGAGAGCCCAGACACACCACGAAGAAAACTCATTTCAGCCGCTTGAGTGTAGGAACGTAGATCGACTGGTAAATTGAGAGCTTTGCCTTTTGGCTCAGCTCTCTCTTTACCACACCGGACTGGTAAAGTGCCTGCTTCACAGCAGATGGCGCACCAATCCACCTATTGATCTCTTTCTTCATCTTTCCCTACTTGATTAACAAGATCCCAAGATACTTAAACTCCTCCACTAGGGGCAGTACATCCTCCCTAATCCAGAGAAGGCACTCTACAGGTGCTGGTCATAAAATTAGAATATCATGAAAAAGTAGATTGATTTCAGTAATTCCATTTAAAAAGTGAAACTTGTATATTATATTCATACATTACATACAAACTCATATATTTCAGATGTTTATTTTGTTTAATTTTGATGATTACAAATGACAACAAATGAAAATCTCAAATTCATCATATCAGAAAATTAGAATATTGTGAAAAGGTTCAAAATTGATGGCCCCTGGTGCCACACTCTAATCAGCTAATTAACTCAAACCACCTGCAAAAGCCTTTAAATGGTCTTTCAGTCTAGTTCTATAGGCTACACAATCATGGGGAAGACTGCTGACTTGACAGTTGTCCAAAAGACGACCATCGACACCTTGCACAAGGAGGGCAAGACACAAAAGGTCATCGCTAAAGAGGCTGGCTGTTCACAGAGCTCAGTGTCCAAGCACATTAATAGAGAGGCGAAGGGAAGGAAAAGATGTGGTCGAAAAAAGTGTACAAGCAAGAGAGATAACCGCACCCTGGAGAGGATTGTGAAACAAAACCCATTCAAAAATGTGGGGGAGATTCACAAAGAGTGGACTGCAGCTGGAGTGAGTGCTTCAAGAACCACCACACACAGACGTATGAAAGACATGGGTTTCTGCTGTCGCATTCCTTGTGTCAAGCCACTCTTGAACCACAGACAGCGTCAGAAGCGTCTTGCCTGGGCTAAAGAGAAACAGGACTGGACTGCTGGTGAGTGGTCCAAAGTCATGTTCTCTGATGAAAGTAAATTTTGCATTTCCTTTGGAAATCAAGGTCCCAGAGTCTGGAGGAAAAGAAAAGAGGCACTTCATCCACGTTGCTTGAAGTCCAGTGTAAAGTTTCCACAGTCAGTGATGGTTTGGGGTGCCATGTCATCTGCTGGTGTTGGTCCATTGTGTTTTCTGAGGTCCAGGGTCAACGCAGCCATATACCAGGAAGTTTTAGAGCACTTCATGCTTCCTGCAGCTGACCAACTTTTTGGAGATGCAGATTTCATTTTCCAACAGGACTTGGCACCTGCACACAGTGCCAAAGCTACCAGTACCTGGTTGAAGGACCATGGTATCCCTGTTCTTAATTGGCCAGCAAACTCTCCTGACCTTAACCCCATAGAAAATCTATGGGGTATTGTGAAGAAGAAGATGCAATACACCAGACCCAACAATTCAGAAGAGCTAAAAGCCACTATTAGAGCAACCTGGGCTATCATAACACCTGAGCAGTGCCACAGACTGATCGACTCCATGCCACGCCGCATTGCTGCAGTAATACAGGCCAAAGGAGGCCCAACTAAATACTGAGTGCTGTACATGCTCATACTTTTCATGTTCATACTTTTCAGTTGGCCAACATTTCTATAAATCCTTTGTTTTTATTGGTCTTCAGTAATATTCTAATTTTCTGATATGATGAATTTGAGATTTTCATTTGTTGTCATTTGTAATCATCAAAATTAAACAAAATAAACATCTGAAATATATGAGTTTGTATGTAATGTATGAATATAATATACAAGTTTCACTTTTTAAATGGAATTACTGAAATCAATCTACTTTTTCATGATATTCTAATTTTATGACCAGCACCTGTACAATAAAAATAATGAGGAAAGCACAACTGAATTATGTTCCAACCTGTCATCATTTATCATTAGTTGATGACTTTGTTAAGACTCCAGAAGTTAATTGTTAAAGCTTCCTTATATCTTTAATTGCACCTGATTTCCTATTTCTTTTATTTTACATACTTTCCATCCAATTCATTACCACATCAAGTTTCTCTCAGTTATCAAATCATCCACATCATATTTTCTTTACTGTTATAACTGTATTCACCAAGTCCTTGTCTTTCACTAGTGAATAATTTGGGAAAACCTTAAGTTTGCAAAAAGGGAGTCCTGCAGCCTGCATGTCTGCTGCGCATTGTCAGTTTTCTAGCTGAGGCCACTAGATTCCCTCCAAAAAGCATTGATATTTCAAAGTCTCCATCATGTCTTTCACTCAAACAGGCTTCCCATGAAAAGACCTATAGCACCACACATCCTCCTTAATACTTAACAGTGGGCATAAGGTGCATTTCCACATATTTATTGCATTACCAATAAAGGTGCTTTCTAATAAAGCATCATCCACAGCGTTGACATGTGATCGAACCAGTGCTGTTCACATGCATTCAGTGCAGTCAAAAGGAGACACTGCAGAGGCTGATTCTGTATTTATAGCACCAACATGATACACTATTCATAAATCATCATGCTCTTTCTCAGTCAGTCAGTTCCTCTCCCAGTAACATTAACACATACTCATTATCATGACATCAAGTTTTAGAGCATCAGTAAATAGCATCCTCCGGTTTTCAAGACCTGCTATAAGGTTCTTTGGGGGGTGTGGGGAGGGAACCAAAGTGTTAATGAAAGTGTTATGCAAACATTGCAGTAAAGGGGAGGCATGTGATCTCCTCTGTATGAGAACATAGAAAGCTGGAGACAGCAAAAAACAAAGGTTAGCTTAATTCCCAACTAGCTGGCTGCTTAATACTTCATGTTTCTACTCCCAGAGGTACGACACAGTACAGCTGTTTATACAAGAAAAAAAATTGCCAAAAGAAAGAACAACAATAATTTGCAGACACATATTGTACTTAGACATCTGCAGCTGTCCTTCTCACACTTATCAGGGAGGCCAAAAGATGATGGATCATGGATGGAATTCAGTTTCAGCTCCTTTACAAGACACACATGCACTGATCTGCATGTTCTTACAAGGAGAAAGAATTAAAAATACTTTTCATTTGAGAAATATAATATGGCATTAGGAATGATAAGACTGAAGAGAAACAATTTATTGAGCTAATTTATAAAGTAAGTGATTGTGGTGCTTATTGTATGGCTGTACTTTGAGTAGATGATAATTTCACATGTATTAAGATGGAATTGACAAAACAGCATAAAGATAAGTAGGGTCTTAAGTTTATTAGAAAACGTTTCCTTACATTTGATGATGTATTTTAGAGTTTTCTCAGATGGCAATCTGTACATGATGAAAAATACTTGAATATTTAAATGGCATCGGCTAATGGGTAAAGGAGGTCAATAACTTAATTCGCTAAATTACTGTAAAAGATGCGACATATTTTGAGAGGTGTTGGCATAAGGCTGGACTCCCGTTAACTTCATAACAGAACATAAAATGTTCTAGTACCTAAACAATACCGGTCAGGTTCTGTTAAATGAATTACAAATGTCTACTCACGGTCTGGGTGTTCATAAGGCAGCCAGTGGTGCTTGCTGCTGTACTCCGAGGCCTGACACTGCTCCTCCCTCGGATCACTGTAGATGTCCTCACACTCATTGTTGTTACACATCTGGAACTGGTAAGGGGTCCCTCTACAGGTACGGCCACCATTGGCTGGACTGGGAAGAACAGCAGCGACAAAAATTGTTCTTGCAATTTTAGTGGTTTTTTTTCTTTTTTTTTTGTTTAATTTTTTTTTATATTATGCTTTAACCCCAAATGATCTATTTATTCACACCCCCTAATGATGGATTGATTGACTAGGCACCTTTTCGCTGTGGGTTTATGCTAATAAAAGCTTACTTTATTTTTACACATCTTTACCAGGTTGGCTAAAAGTTGTGTTGGTCGCTGCAGACACCAAACTGTACAAAAGTGTGTTATACCTGGGATTGTTACAGTTTCTGGTGCGAAATTGCACTCCTCCTCCACAGGTGCGTGAGCACTGGCCAAACTCGCTCCACGAGCCCCAGTTTCCGTCTTGCTTCATGATGTCAGGAGTCAACCAGATGCAGTGACCTTTAAAGCAGTGCTGCAGCAGAACATCAAAGTGTCCTTAAATCAGTAGAACATAGGGTGGAAGAAACCAGTTTCTGTTAATGTCCGTTTTCTTAAGAATGTGTGGTTACCTTTCCATTCCCACACATGGTGCCATCAATGGGGGGCCCTTTCTTGGTCTTGCAGAAGAACGGATTGTCTGGATGACTGCACCACAGCTGCTGGCAGGGGTCGTATGTACGGTACTGTTTGGGAGCACAGAAACTTCTAACAGTCAAAGACATCATGTTACTATCAAAAATGGACTAAAAGGTCAATCAAAATGGAAAATTATGGAAAGATTAACACTTAAAACAGGTTGAGATGGGGGTAGAAATACCACAACAGTAGCAAAGACAGTACCATATGAAACAAAATCAACAATTAATCTGCAAAGTGTGAATGGAGTTTACACTTGGACTCACTAAGAAACACACAGCAGTTCATGCAACTGTATTAAGATACAGAGCCCTGCAAAAGTGATCCTTCCTCTGGTTTTACATATACTCACTTTAAGACATTTTCACAGGATTTTAGGTGGTAGACAAACACAAAGTAGCACTTGATTGTAAAGTGGAAGGAAAATGACACTAAGCTTTTTTATAAACAAATAACCCAAAATATATTTATATGAAGCTTTTTCTTTCTTTGAAACAACTAAATGAAACCCAATGCAAATAAATCCCTTTAGAATTCACCCAATTGTTTACCAGAGCCCAAATTCTTGACATTTAATCCTTATAAATGCAGCTGTTCTCTTAAACCCTCAGGGGTTTCTAAGAGAACACTAACAAAACAGCATCATAGAGACTGAGGGACACAGCAGCCAAGTCAGATATAAAAATGTGATCAAGGATAAAGCAGATTTAGGTAACAGAAAAACACTCTGTCGACATGTCACCGAGCCTTATTCAATCCATTATCTACAGACTAAACACTACAAGCATTTAATCTAAACTGAGAATTAAAGAAAGCAAGAATCACAGCAGTAAAGATCAACAGGTCAGGTTTTATGTGACAAAAATACTGAGGGGGCAGCTAATAAACATGAACTCAAGAGCCATTAATTAAAAATGATTCATTAAAAAGCACACCAACATTAAGATTGTTGCATTCATCATGCAAACACTGTCTGGAGAAAAACTCTAGACAGTGGCTGCATCATGCTTTGGGCATGCTTTTCATCAGCAGAGACAGGAACCCTTATCGGAGTTGATGAAAAGGTGGATAAAGCTTAATACAGATCAATCCTAGAAGAAAACCTAATATAAGCTTTAAAGCGAGACTGGACTGTAGGGTCGTATCCTAATACAACTACAACAGTATAGTCTAAACAGGTGAGTCAGAATCCAAATGGGAATCTGGCACAACTTGAGATCTTCACAAAAGCATACTATCCAATAGGGCTGAAACAATTAATCGGTTTAATCGTGATAAATCGATTATTGAAACAATCGCCAACTAATTTATTAATCGATTAATGGTTAACTGCAGTGAAGAGAGTCTAAAACATGCCTTTAGCAGACAGATCAACTCTCCATTAGCAGCAATTGTACCAAAATTGTACAACAATGATAAACATTTTGCATCTAGGATAAAAAGTCTGTCAAGAGGCTCTATCCAGAACTCCTCAAGTGGAAAAGTTTTAGTTTCATGGGTTTAATTTCGTAAAAAGGTCTTCTTTGAGGAACCTTTTGCTATCCGATTATAAATCGATTAATAGAAAAAAAGAATCAACGGATTAATCAATTTTAAAAATACCATCTAACATGTTTGAGTGTGAGATATATTACATTAAAGAGAATGATAGATCTCTTGGTCTCTGGATGTTCAAAACAAGGAAAATAATGCTCCAAAATGTGCATCTGTAAGCACAAAACAATCTGTTTTTTCTATACCTATCTTAATAGTTGTTTTCTAAAAAGAACTCCCAACGTGTATCATTTTCCTTCTGCTTTACACGTTCTTCTTTGTGTGGACCTGTCACATGAAACACACTGCTCTATGTTTTTGTAAAAAAATCAGTGTAATATGAACTTTTGCAAAGCACTGTAAAGGAGATCAGAGGGCAGAGTGCTTAAAGCCAAAAAAGTGAGATTTCTGGGACTAATAAAATTTCTGCTAGCATGGATGGAGAAGCAAACTCCCCTCCTGTATGGAAATGAACCAAAGATGCCATCAAACAGACCAGCCTGCCCTCCTCTCTCCTCTCCACAGAACCTCCCACCTACTATGGCACAGTGGGACTTCTACAGGACAGTAGTAGACTTGTAAACATCAGATTAAACCACAGTATGTAATCATCAGCTGTGGATAGACTGAAGGATCCTAAAACACAGAAAAAAAAGGCCCCTGTTATGGCTGAGCCCTTTTCCCAAAGATGGGAAAGACATCTCCGCAACCCTTTCCACTTGTTTACAGTCAAAAGAGTGCCAATATAATGAGTCTCTTCCTGCCAGAGCTGCGGTGATTTACCACTAGTCTGCAGAGAAGGACTCTGGGTACAGAGCCGCAACTGCCAGGCAAATGAAACGCAAGTCACATGTTGTTTTGAATGAATTGTACTTGCTTTCCCTCAAAGCACAAGCATTTTAGAATCCTGCAGACCAAATCCTAACAAAACCGAGGCACAACGTACTATTAAACAGAAATGGAGGGGCAACATTACAAACACATGACTTGTGGAACAAAAAAAATGTGAAAACCTGACAAATTAACACGTCCACACATCCTCCTGGAGATGGATTGGCCTTACCTGCGATCCTGACCGGCCCGCCTTTTGTAGCTGAGGGAAATGAGTTTGACAAGAGAATAGAGGGTAATCTAGCAACGTGTGCAAAGCCCCTGAGCAAGCCCTTAGTCAAGAAACAGCTTTGCCACAGTGGCTTCACAGTCACAGATGGTGCTGACTGTAAGGGAAGTAAAGGTGCCAGAAAAGATGATGCTGCTTGAAACTTCTCTAGTTACGTTTTTGTCTTAAAAAACCTTTCATGTAAAGGCACTGTGGTATCAAGGCAACCGAGAGGCTTTAATAAGGCATTTCTTTTACTTTGACTAATGCCATGTGAAGGTAATAGCTAACAAAACCAATTACCTGCTTTTAAGCAAGATGTCAATCCCACCAGAGGCCGGGAGAGGAAACAGAGGACATCAGAACAACGTAAATGGCTACGTATGTGTGACTTATTTCAGTCAAATGTAATACACTGCTAGAAAACACTTAACTCAGATCAGAAGCTCAACTTTTAGAACTTAAAAAAGCCCACGCTATTTCACCATCCACTTTCAAACTGTCTGTTCAGACAAAGCATTTCACTGTTACTTGTCCTGATAAGCTAAAATAACACTATGCTTTAACTGATGGCATTTACTAAGGAAGGTGCCCTCAGCATGATGATGAAGGGTGTAAGCGCTGGTGAACTACAGGGGTCTCTTACCGCGATGCACATGGTGTAGCCCACACCAAAGTCAAAGCGGCACTGTTCATTCATGGAGTAGTGCAAACCAGGAAGTTGAGGGAGCGATGGCCAGTTGTGGTCAAATGGGTCGTCCCGGAGACAGTCATAGGAACTGTGGGTAAATACATACAGTTGTTCTGAGTTTTAAAAAAATTTTTCTCTAACATTTTTGGCGTGTTAACATGAATCACATATTTTGCAAAAACAGAGATTTTCTGTCCCGATTTTGGGGACTTCTCAGTGGGAAAAGATAGTTTGCAGAAATTGTCATGATTAACTTGCGATAAATACACCTTTGGTGTATTTGTCTTTTTTTTTTCTTCCTTTTTTTAAATGTTGGAGCTTTAATTAAACGACTGAGGAAATAATTGAAATTTGGACATTTCCAAATAAACTGTTTCTGTTTAAAGGCATTTAATATGTGTGACGCAATGCACAAAAAGGTAGGAACAAATTCGGGAGAGCACAAACAGAGAAAAAAGGAAAGAAACACAATTTTTGTTTTACTGCAAAATACAGTATGGAAGCTGGAGTTCGGAAATAACCTGTTGCTCTAAAGAAGTGATTCCCAACTGGGGGTACTCGTAATCCTAGTGGTCCGCAAGTGCATTGCAAGGGGTACATAAAATTATCTTATTTCTTATGTAGTAAAATAAAACAGGGCTGTTCTGCTTTGTGAGGACGAAAAATTAAACAAGCTTTCATCAACCAAAAAGTAAGCTTTTTCTTATATTTTTGACATCACCTTCAGCTTTGACACACTTTGACTTAGCTTTGAACAGACTGGACATAGAGAACATCCTGGTATCAGCTGTTTTTCACACTGAGTTATCGGAGCTCATCGAAGCAGCTCTTCATGAAAACAAAGTAAAACTAATTAAGTTAGTCTGACTATAATTTGATTCTGTAATTTGTTCCCAATTCATCAAATTAAAATGTGATTGTAAGAGAGTTACTCAGAGGAGGTTTTATAAATTAGCGTTCATAATATGATTTTATTTTGCATTTATTTCGATTCCTTAGTAACTTTCAGGCAACATATTAATGTTTTTTTTTTTTTTTTTTTTTGAAATGGAAAAAATAAAAGATTAAGTAATATAGTTTTTATTTTGTAATCAGTTATTGCACGTTCCACTTTTGGACAGTCATCAATACTTTTGACTGAGTGGGGTATTCATTGTACAAAACTTTTCACAGAGGGGTACACAAGTCAAAATAGGTTGGGAAACACTGCTCTAAACAACAGATTGAAAGGATCTAAAAATGGTAAAATCCGTGTTTACACTCAGCCTGTTTTCATTACAACCTGGCAGGCTGCATCTGCTTATTTCATAGGGAAAACCACAGCTCATTTTTACATCCGTTTGGCTCTGTGCTGGCTTTTATTATGCATGTTTTCCAGGCTGCATGCTTGAAGTATGCACATGGCTACCGATACATATATGCTACTAAACTAAACCAGTTTGGAAACTAAACTGTGTTTTTTCAGGATGAACAACATAACATGGTTAAGCTTTTTTCAGTAGCAGAAATGGGAAGAATATAAGAATAATCTGAAATCTACTGTAAAATAAAAGAAAACACAGCAGGAAACCTTATATGATTGAAATCTACAGGAATACTTTCTTTTTTCTGGGGCAATTTAATTTGCTGAATTTAATTTGAATCAATTTCAATTCAGCAAATCTATTAGTGATTAATTATTTAATATTTAATGAAGCATTTCATTTCACACAGTTCCTGAGCTTATATTACTTTGAAGGGGTTATATATATAGAACAAAACATCTAAAAAAAATAGCAGCTACATGTAAAAAGAACAACACTTATTATAGATCAATGCTGGCCATCCAAAGGTCATTTAAATATATTCCAGCATGCATTGATATGTTCCAGTGTGCATTTCTCACTGAAGGAAGCGTCCCAGCTCCTGCATGCTACATCTAGACCACTGAAATTTGTGGAAGGCAGCTTGCACCAGAGGAGCCATGATGCTGCCCATGGGCACCTCATCTCCGCAGCGGTTTCCCTGACCGTCATGCTCCATTCCAAGCCTATATACAAAGAGAGAGAAAGGAAAGGTAGGAAGTTGCCGGAAGTTAATGGAAAGGACGAAGACCACAAGGTACAAAATGGTAATGTGTGGGAGGAGAAGATCAAGGAGCACCACTTGAACAGAACTGTGTGGAATTAGTGTGAGACTTATTTGCTGTATAATCACATTCTTATCTTTAACACTTACACATGCCCGGTTTCATGAGCCACAACAAAGGCTGAAGAAAACCCATCCTCGTGGTTCAGAGTGCAGCTTCTTACAGGATGGCACATCCCCGTCACTGGAGCATAACCTGGAGAATCAGATGAAGAAAAGTTATATTAGATCTACTGACATACTGCTGCAAAAAACGCTAAAATTACAGACACAATGATAAAATGCTATTTCTCTTTTGGTTAATGCTCATTTAAGTGGGCATTCTATGACTTATTTTTCTTTTAAGCGTGTGGTCAAGCAGATTTGGTTCATCAAATAAAAATAATCAAATAAAAATATGCATTTTTTTGCTTCAATAATGTACAGAACAGCTGTACCTATGGTTGTGTACATATGGTTACATAAAAGGTAGAATAGAAGTGTAACTTTAAACAATAATGTTTATTTGATAAATCCTAACTCCAAGATCTCGACTTCCCTCTTTGCAAATGCCAATCTTCAGTTTCCTGTGTGTCCCCTGCACTCCCTTTAAATGTGGAGCTGGGGCTGACTCTTCTCTGTATATTGATTTTCTGCTGCTGAAGGCTGTGCCCAAGGGCAGCTGAAGGGCTTCTGGCTAGCTAGGCCACAGGCTTTAGAGGCCTCTCCCCTGGGCCTGACTGTTAGCTTGTGCTCTTTTGCACAGAAAACCATCAACCACAGAATCCACAGTGCACCTTGCAAACTATATGAGACAAAGAAAGGAAGGAGACTTCTCTGGGTCTCTATTATCTTTTTAGAGCTGTGAGCATTCATCAACAATATGTATGTGCAAGAATATTGAACATCTTCGTCATGTCCTTTAATACCCTGCATGCCCGTTGGGCCGAACTCTTGGCGTGTGAGGAAAATGGCGTGATCGTGATACTCCGCATCCCCTGTGTCTTGTTTCTGCTGCAGAAAGGCCCAGCGACACACATTCTCCAGACTCTGAGATGGGTTCCCAAGTTCAATCAGGCTCATAGACTGAAACCAACACAAAACAACAGAGAATGTTTTAAATGCGAGGACATCCCATATTCAGTTTATTTACAACGCAGCAATCAACCCTGTAGGGGGCAGTGTCACCGTGTTGTGTTTTAATGCTCTGGCAAAGTGCTGAGCTCTCTGCTACACATCATCACACACAGAAACACATGTACAGCCTAAAAGAGGTTTACAAAAACAATCTGTGAATGGGTTTAACACAATATCTCTTTATAATTAAATAAATAATAACCTAAACACACGGACACGTTTACAGCTGTATTTCCTGTAGTTTGTCTATACAAAAAACATCCTAACTTGGATATTGTCTTAATTTATATGCTCTTATTCTGTTATTAAAATCTTTCTGTCAGTCTCTTGCCTTGCCTTCGTTTCTCTGTTTGATCACATGCCTAAAGTGCAGCTGCTTCGCAAAAGGTATGCAGTTTGAGCGAGACATATGGGTTGCCTCTGCACACTTGATGGAGTGTTAAGTATGCACTTGGCTCAATCCTCATTTAGACAGTACAGACTGTACACGTTCACATTTCCAAGTTGCTTATATGTATTTAAGTGCATGCTTTCATGATCCCACAAATGTGTTTTTGCAAAGGTGCATCGGGTGTAAATGTGGCACGGTGACTGTGTGTGTGAGTAAAATGTGTGCGTGTGTGAGTATGGCTGCGTTCAGGGTCACACAGTCAATCTGCAGGCTGTCTGGGTGCAGCTCTGTTGCTGTGGTAATTGGGAACGATGGACAGCCAAAGCTTTGGCTGAAGCTACACAAGAGGCTGGCCCTGAATGGTCAATGTAATGAATGTGAGCATACGTGCAGTTCCTGTCTTCTATTGAGCAGCAGAAGAACATCAGAGAACACCTAGCTACTGAAAAAATAGCATTTTTTATTCACTGTGGTAATCCCTTCATTCCCGTTATTGAATTGCACTGAGGAGGACAGGGATGCTGGCCCTATTGCCCTTACCCTTTATGAATGAGGGACCGTTATCATTGATTATTCACCTTTGTCTAGACTACAGATGATTCTGAGCAGCAATCTTTGAGGAAGAACAGTGATTGCATAACAGGCAGAGTTTCTAGGTGCTTTGGTGCTGAACTGTGAAGGCGTGCGACTTGGAAAAACTCCCCTGAGATACAGCATGCTTTTAGTTCCTCTTTTGCTCAGCTCACTGGAATAACAAGCTCTGGCCATTGGTGTGTTCTAATGTCTGGATGCATGTATTTTATATTTGTTTATGAATTTGTTTTAGGGAAGTGTATAAAAATACAACCAGTTGTGAGTCCAAATATAGTTGTGCTAATGAATAATACTTCAGAAACAAATATTTAGTTGCTTTTTCAGCAGGAGTTTGAGTCCTGTCAGGCCTCACCTTGCCATAGCCCAGCATGATTATCCGCACCAGCACAACATTGATTTTTGCTCCCAAGGAATCGTCATGGTAGATCTCGTTCACCTAAAGCCGCAAAGACAACCACAAAAGCAAAATCAAATTTAAATAAGATGCACAAATACCTTTAAACGCCGTAAAATTCTTTTTGTGGTTAAAAGTAAAAAAAAAAAAAAAACACAAAAAAACGACTTTAACAAGAATTAGATTATTTTAGTCAGATTGAGCTCTGCAGTAACAAACAGTCCATCAAAGTTAAGTTCAATCTGACAAACTCACACAGAAAGAAAAGATAATTAGAAGAATTTTATTGATATGATAGTATAGTCTTTAGCGCTCAGACCTCGGCAGGAACATTAAAGCTGAATTATGCTTTAACATGCATAAGTAGATGATGTTCGTCCCTGGCCTGAAACTGGTGGTGGTTTAGTCCAAGCTGGTTAACGAGGTGATCTGCTTGAGCTGTATTGTGGGAACAGGAGACTGTGGGAGCTGACACCAGGACTTCAGTCAGAGACTCAGGATGTAGAGGTCCTGCTTGGTGATGCAGGTACCATGAACTGTCCATGATGAGCAAGCATGAAGCGACAGTGGAGAGGAAAAACTCCCCTTTGGGAAGAAACCTCTGGCAGAACCAGGCTCAACATGGTGGTCTTCTGCCGGACCAATGCAATGAGACTAGGGATGGTGACGACTGGGATTAATACTCTCTGATGAGGTTGAGGTAGAAGTCGTGTCATGGAAGATGACTCAGCTACGATGGCGGAGAAGGGGATGGAGGTGGGTGAATTGGTCGTCTGAATCAAAATCTGACATCATGCGCTTGCTGGATAGAGGGCTGAGACGAGGATTTGAAGGTGCTTTTAAAGTGAAAGCAGGATGCTGATTGGGCTTCGTGGTGGAGTAGTTCGAAGCTGATTGGCTCGTGTCAGAGGCGGATCAGCTTCTGATTGGATGGGGGTAAGCCAGAGTTTCTTCAATTGAACTTCCGCTAGAGCTTCATTATAAGTACATTTTCATTTCTCTTTTCTTGTTTTTGCATTTAGACATAATGCAAGGAATGTTTTTTTATAAATAGCCAATGTTTATTCAAAATCAGTGCATCTTTACAGACGTAGCCATTAAAAATTTCCCACTTTAATTGATGGGCCCTTGGCTGGTCCCCTACAATTCATTTTTAAACATAAATTTTTGAACTAAAATATTTTTTCTGTCATGATTTGGGGACATTAAGATCTAAAGAGAAGCGAGCTTTGCTGGTCAGACCCTACAATTCAGTGAAGGGTGGAGTCAGAGTAAAAACAATGTGCACCCTGGACAAGGCCAGTGGCTGGAAGTTGGAGGGGATTTTGCTGGGAGTAGCAGGGAAGTGGGCTGCCGTTCGGCTGGCGTTTGACTGGGAAGGGTTATTTTGAATGAGTAGGACTGTAAATAATTTCATAATATTAAATCCTTTTAGGTAATATACTGCTTTAAAAAAAATGGAGTTTGAAGATTGAAGGAGCTTTTTATTGTGAATATAGTGTTGTGATGGAACACACATAAAGATGTCTTACTTTTTAATTGCACCTTTCATAATGAAATTCAAACAATTTTTTCCAGTACAAAAACCTGAAAACTGTTGTGTATATATTTAGTTAGCATATTTTACTATCCTAAATAAAATCAAGTGCAACCAAATGACATGAAAAGTCCTGTATTCAGAAAATATCCCAACTTTGAATAATTACCAAAGCTACATATACGTTCTCTTGAGGCCTTAGAGTTTGAAAATATTTGCAACGGATGGGATCCCAGCTATGGAATTGCAGGGATCCTATTTATTAATCCCAACGGATTACTTTGTAGATTTCAAAGAACATACAGTAATAAATATCAAAACCATGTGAAACTTAGTAACAATGGGAAAAATCACCTAAAAATCTAAAGAATACAGTAAAACTAAAAAACTTACCAAGACACGACTTTCCACCTAAACTGACAGGCTATGCAATAAGCGTGTTAAACAGAGAAGCAGACAAAAGTGGTGACTCTGGAGGAGCTGCAAAGATCCTAATGACAATTGGCATGCTCTGATACAAACATGGTCAAGTGAAGCTTTAAGAATTCCTGTTGAAATTTACAACACGTCATTTAGGGCTGACATGTGAAAGTGAGAGCTGGGTCCTGATGGGGTCTAAACTTTCTCAACTTTTTGGTAAATATACTAGAAAATTCTCCAAGTGAAACATTGTGGTGGAGGCATTATGCTGCAGGATTGAATTTCTTCAACGTGGAAAGAGAAGTTGGTCAGAGCTGACAAGGAGAAATATCAAATTCTACAAACTGCAAGCAAACGTATGGTAGAAAGCCTGTCAAAGGCACAAAATTATTCTAAAATTGATGGAAATGCATCTTAGTAGATCAATAACCCTAAGCACAAAACTATTGGACTAGTGAATCATTTTAAATTGATTTCCATCTAAAATAAATCTATAAATGCTGTTTTCCAACTTTTTCACAAGAAAACTCTACAAGAAAGAAGTAAATACCCCCACTCAAACAAATCTGTTATCTAGGCCTAACAAATGTAAGAGGGGAAGGAAAGAAAAGGATTTAGGCAAGTGTAAGGAAATTTGGGTTCCCAAGAGCATGGATATACAGGAGATGAAGAAGATGCAAAGGATTGAAAGCGCCTAATGCAAGGAAACAAGGTAATGTGTAACAGGGGAGACGCAGAGAGCACTCTTCTAGCACACACACTCTGACACACACAGACGCAAAGCCAAAAGAGAGAGAGGGAAAATTGGCACTAAAGTCGAGGCCTGCTGTCCTCAGTGGCTGTGTTTGGTGCTTAATGAGGCAAAGGGATGTAAAAACAGACAGCCATAATGAGATGGCTGATGGACATGCTGCAGAGATACACACATACACACACACACAAATGGTGCCCACAGAGAGGTGCAGAGATAAGGAGAAGCACTGCAGAGACATGGAGCAAGAGACAGGTATGAGGGGAAGCTGAGGAATGCTTCGAACAGAGACCGGCAGGCAGAGCAGCAGAGGGGGGAAAATAAGCTGAATGCAGAGGGAAAAAGAAACATGCAGAGAAGAGCTTAACAAGGACTGTTGAGTTCTTAGAAAGCAAATATATTCTTAAGTAGCAAAGAAACAATTTCTTTGTTGAAAGAAGCGAAAAAAACAAAACTCAGAGCAGGATTTTCCCTTTTACTATTTACAAAAAAGCTGTCAAGCATATCTGTAATGACATAACAGCAAAAACAGCTATTTGTCATCAGTGACCAAAAAAATCATTCACTTATTTATATCTGCAGGTTTCCATGAGAAAGCTAAAAGAAGTTTTTTATTGCCCAAGACTTATTCTTGTCATTGAGCTGGCTTCTTAGGACCTGTCTGACTCGTTGGAGGTGTTTGGCCGCAGCCGCTTTCCTTGTCAACTCTTCGAGGTTGCCATTTGCTTGTGGGATTCTGAGGTACTTGTAATTGTCCTCAATGTCTGCTGTTGATCCTTCTGGGAGTGAGACCCCCTCTTTGTGGACTACCTTCTCTCTCTTAGTCACCATCCGACCTCGCGCATCCCGATGTCTGTGCTGAAGATCCGGGTGTTATGGATCAGTGAGTCGATGTCTCACTCATTCTTATCGTACAGCTTGATGTCATTCATGAAGCGGAGGTGACTGAGTCGGTATCCGTAGCCAGTCTTGTGGATTATTTGGATGAGGTTGTTCAGGCCTATGCAGAACAGCATTGGGGACAGCACATCTGCTTGGGATATGCCACATTTGATGGAGACTTATGCAAGGGTCTTGCCATTGGCTTCAAGGGTAGTTTTCCACAATGAAGGCTCTTAGGGTCCTGTTGATGTTGTATAGCTTCAGGCATTCAATGATCCAAGTATGTGGCATTGAGTCAAAGGGTTTGTTGTCGCCAATCCAGGCTGTGCTCAGCTTAGTGTTTTGGGTTCTGCAGTCTCGAGCGACTGTTCTGTCTACCAGGAGTAGATTTTTGGCACCTCTGGTATTTTTCACCAATTTCATTCTGAGCTGTGCTCATGTATTGATCTTTGTGCCCCGACATGAGCTTCCGTGCTGTGGAGAGGCAGGTTATTGGTCAGTAGTTGGATAGAACTATACCCTTTAAGGGATCCTTCAGGATCAGGATTGTGCATCCCTTGGTTAGTCATTCAGGTTGATTCCCATCTCTCAGCAGCTGGTTCATTTGTACTGCCAAGCGTTCATGGAGTGTGGTGAGTTTCTCAAGACAATAGGCTTGTATCAAATCTGGGCCTGGTGCTGTCCAGTTCTTCATACCTGAGACTCTTTCTTGGATGTCTGCCACTGTGATGGTGACTGGATTCTGCTCAGGGAGGTTGCTGAGGTCCTCTCTCAGAGTCAACAAAAACTGTACATCACGGTTGTGTGCTGCCTCCTTCTCCCATATGGCTTTCCAGTGCTGTTCTGCTATTGCTTTTGCCTTGCCACTGGGCGTAAACTTTCGCTGGTTGAGTTGTAAACAGCAAGTTTACCCGACTGGCTCCATTTTACATATACATATATATATATACGTATATATATATATATATATATATATATATATATATATATATATATATATATATATATATATATATATATATATATATATATATATATATAGCGTTATAGTATGTGGGGCCACACATTTGCCTGTCTAAGATCTGGCATAGCTATTCTAGTTCGGAAAGTAAAAAACCTGTATCAGTCACATTGTCATAGTGATCAGAAGGATTACAATTTGCCCTCTGATTTAATTTTTTCATACATCTTTTTTCTTAATTTAGCTTCATATAACAATTCTAAGGGAGAAAACAAATAAAACAAAGCAAATACAGACTACTAAAAGGTTGGTATGCCAAAGAGGAGAAAAAAAAATTATAAAAGAACATATTGAACTGTTCAACTTGTCAGAACATATTATGTTTAAACTGCTTTTTGGGTTTCTAGTTCCTTCCTTGTGATGTTTTGTTTAAGTTCTTTATGTGCTCAGAATTAAATCGGGTCTTCCCGAAACAGCTGATTGGCTGCTTG